CCAGCACCCCTGGGGGCTTTGGGAAAAGAAGCCACTGGGCCAAGGAGCCACCATATCATGGTCTGGATGTTACCTCTTGTGGTAGCCAGGTGGCATCACCACAGGCCCTGGCTCCCTCCTGGTGCAGATAAACTGTTCCCTGGGGGACATCTCCTCTGGGATGGCCAGGAGCTCAGCAGGGCTGGAGGGACCTGCTGGCATTGGCACCATATGGGTCTTAGGGTAAAGGCTGGTGACCCCTGGATCCCTCCCCACCATTCTGTCTTCTCCCAGCTGGCACAACACAGACCTTGTGGCACGGAGCACCCTGTGCCACTGCTGTGCCACTGCCTGTCCCCCTGGTGACACCCTCCCTATGGAACTGCCAGGTACCAGAGCCAGGCTGTGGTAGCCCCATGTGCTCTTGGGGGTGTCCTGGGGCTAGGACAGGCTGCCCCATGTCCTCCTGCAGGCTTCCCAGGAGAGGGGACACTCCACTGGGAGACAGTCGGACCATTGCTGGTGCAGAAGGAGAAGGTGCCATGGGACGAAGGTGAGTGGACAACCCCAACCACGCCCCCCACGGCCCCAAAGCCACCCCTGACCTCCCAGCGTGGTGTCTTTGCTGTCCCCAGCACCGTGCCACCTGGAGAAGAGGTTCCTGCTGGCTGGGCTGGTCCTGGTGGGCAGCACCCTGGTGGCAGCCACGCTGCTGGGGGGTCTGCTGGGGCTGGCCCTGGGCACCTGGCGCCCGGGCAGGGGACAGCGGGGACAGCGGCGGAGGGAACAGCCCCCCTTCTATGCTGAGCTGCAGAGTGTGGTGAGGGCCCTGGTCCCCAGGGAGCCAGAGGTGGGTCCTGACCACCACAGCCTGGTGCAGGACCCGGCGTGACCATCTTCCTCCCCAGTAAAAGATGGGTTTTTTCCCCCTCTTAAGCTTCTCCTGGTTGGTACCACGTGGAGGCCAGTGCAGGCTGGGGAGGTGCCACCACATCTCCTGCTGGAGGGACGTGCCAGGCGTGGTGGCACAGACCTAGACTGTGGTGCTGGAGCTGCTGGCTCCTGGCTGGGGTGGTCTGGGTCCCTGGAGGTACTATTGAAGATGTTGGACATGGCAGCAGCTCCTCGGGGACAGTCCCCAGGATGTCCCAGGAGGTGGATGGACAGTGGCTGTGGAGGGATGGAGGGTTTCCAGCTAGGACCTGAGGCAACCAAGGCTGCTCAGTGTGCAGGTACTCCCTGACCAGGCTGGAGATCCCAGCTAGACCCATGTGTCCCCTCCCAGGAACGGACGTGGTGATGGGTCCCACCACCTCTGGCACCCAACCACCACCCAGCAGGTCAAGCTTGAAATGGTTTATTAGGACCATGGGGCAGGGTGGTGGCTCCAGGGCTGTCCCCAGAGCCAGGGTTCACAGTGGATGGGGGACAGCCCCCCAGGTCAGCAGTGTCCCTCAGTGTCCCCAGAGGTCAGTGTGGGGCTGGAGGTTCTCCTGGTGCCCCGTAGAGGTACAGGGTGTGTGGGGGACAGTGCTGAGGCGGGGGGGGCTGGCCAGAGCTGTCCCCAGTGCCACCAGAACCCCATCCCAGATCTCCCTATGGCCCCACCCAAACCAGGCTTAGTGCTGCCTTGTCCTGCTAATCCCAGCTCATCCCGGTGTCCCTGTGAGACCCCGGCAAAGCCCCTTTGGGCTGGGGACCCTCCCCAGCTGTCACCCTGTGTGTTGGACTCGCTCCTGCCCCCCCAGAGCCTCCTGGTGGCTGATGGGGGGGACTTTGTGGGCACTGCTGCCTACATCGTCCGTCCCCGCCGTCCCCTGGCCTGGCTGGACCCTGGTAATGTCCCCTCCGGGTCACCCTGGGTCCCTTGGGGACACACACAGAGTCCCTGGTGACCCTGGGTGGCTTTTGTCCCCCCAGGAGCGGACTCGCTCCTGCCCCCCCAGAGCCTCCTGGTGGCTGATGGGGGGGACTTTGTGGGCACTGCTGCCTACATCGTCCGTCCCCGCCGTCCCCTGGCCTGGCTGGACCCTGGTAATGTCCCCTCCGGGTCACCCTGGGTCCCTTGGGGACACACACAGAGTCCCTGGTGACCCTGGGTGGCTTTTGTCCCCCCAGGAGCTTTTGGGACGTTGGGCGCAGGCGGCGGCTTCGCCCTGGGAGCCAAACTCTGCAGGCCCGAGGCAGAGGTACGTGGTGGCCCCTTGGGGACCTGGTGGTGGCCTCTTGGGGACCAGGGCCACCCTGATGGCCTTTGTCACCCCCTTGGTGCCAGGTGTGGGTGCTGTACGGGGACGGGTCCCTGGGCTACAGCCTGATGGAGTTTGACACCTTCGTGCGGCACAAGGTGGGACGAGTCGCTTGGGCTGAGGGGGCACCCGAGGGTTTGTCACCCTCCCCAGGGTGTCACCAGGGGTGTCACCGGGGTGGGGTGGCCCTGTCCCGTGTCCCCTGCAGGTGCCTGTCATTGCCCTGGTGGGAAATGATGCCTGTTGGAGCCAGATTGCCCGGGAGCAGGTGGCCTTGCTGGGCAGCAACGTGGCCTGTGGGCTCCAGTACCTGGGTGAGCAGTGTCCCCAGACCTGGGGACATCTGGGTGACCCTGGGTCATCCCAGGGGGGGACAATCCATGCCTGGTGGCCTCGTGTCACCTTAGGGTGGGTCAGTCCATCCCTGGTGGCCTCGTGTCACCCTGGGGTAGATTGAGCTGTGCCAGGTGTCACAGTGTCACTCTGAGGAGCACCAGGCCACACCTGGTGGCATCACCTGCCTTTGGGGACCTCCAGGAGCTGTCCCATGGCCATGTCACCTCCAGGGACAGTTGGACTAGGGGTGGTGACCCTGTGTCACCTTTGGGAGGATCAGGCCATGCCTGGTGCCCCCAGGTCACCCTGGTACCCCCACCCCTGCTTGTCCCTCTTGTCACCCACTATCACACCCTTGCCCTGGAGGTGACAAGGCCACCTCTCCTGTCCCCTCCCCAGATTATCACCTGGTGGCCCAGGCCCTGGGGGGCAAAGGCTTCGTGGTGGGACGTGAGGACAAGGAGCAGCTGGAGGCCACACTGAGGGCTGCCCAGGACCTTTGTCACCAGGGCCACCCTGTCCTTGTCAACGCCCTCATCGGCAGGACCGACTTCCGGGACGGCTCCATCTCTGTCTAGGGACTCAAGGTCCCCAAAATGTCCCCAAAATGTCCCCAGAGGGTGTGTCCCCAGCACAGGGAGGTACCCAAGGGGGTGGCTTTGGGTGCCACCCACCCAGCCCAGGGGACAACTGGGTGTGTCCCCTGCAATAAAGCACCAGGTGCCCAACACCCCCCCCGTCCTGTGCCATCATTTTGGGTCCCCAAAGTGTCCCCAAAGTGTCCCCAAAGGGTGTG